CAATGCCAGTTCGAGGCTAGTACAAGGTAGGATTTCAATATCTTTATACGTGTGATAAGTTTAATTTGTATAAATTTTCTTTTTAGCAAAGAATGATCTTCAATTGAGCCGCACCTCATTTGAATTTGTTTCGCCGCAAATAGTCTGTAAATGTGCTCCACTGTGATCTTTGTTAATTTACTTAGGTACAATATTGTTGTGTGAAAATTTCATGATCTTTACAGCTTTTTATATAGTCTACATGATATATTGCTGTTATCAATCAAAATGTTTCACTCTATAAGCCTTGAGATTTTGACATGGTGGGGTGCGTGAAGAAAAGGCCAAGAATCATATTCTACAGTTCTTGATAAAGTCGATCCTTTTCCTCAGTTTGTTAGGCATAGCAAAGAGTTTCATGCCCTCACACTTGCATCAATTAAATTTCGTCTGAAGATTGATTCTTAAATCTTGTTTCAGGAATAAAATATTAGCTCAAAAAAAATGACAGTTCACAAAAAAGAAATCAAGGTAAAGTCATTTTGTTGAAGACATGTTTCGCCACTTTTCGTCCGAGAATGAGCCCATGTTCTTGATCGCTTCTCCAATGAACACCTAGATAAATTCGACTAAGATAATTCTCTGTTTCTGCTTCAGTGAATGAGCGATATGTTCGTGTTTTTTCTGGCCGTACACGTCCGGTATTTGAATCAATTGTCTTTCCATTGTATTCATCAGATTGAAACCGAAAACGAATATTATCTCGGTTGTAGAAGAGACGAAGCATCTCGAAACAAGCTGAACCAAATGTTGAATGACCAGAAACAAACGAGGGAAATGGCGGCGTGAAATCAGTACCGGCACCATCAGCCGGTGATCCCAAAGGTGTCCAATTGGGATCAGCCAAAGAAGGTTCGATTGCTTGGCGAACACCAAGAATAGGACGCCAGAAGTTATAGTAATATTTCGCTTCCCATGTAGCAATAGCTGCATCGGCTAGAGCATAATTGATCAATGCAAAGAGTCGTGCATTCTTTTCCATTGTATTGTTCTGTTGAATGGCAATGACTCGAACAACTTGATTGTACACTCGTGGAGGAACGCCTACTTTCGGTGCTCCATCATATGCCCAAGCGATAGCAATCTCTGTCTGATCTTGTGTACGAACAGTGCTCGTTTTCGATCCAAATCTCTTGATCTCATCGAATTCGTGTGCATAATCAATGGAATTCAAATAGTTGAGACGAGCTTCGGGTGTATCACCAATGACATTTGCTGGACGATATTGAGATGCAAAGTCTAATGTGAAAGGTTCGACACTTCCCCAATTAGCACCGAGAAAGCCTTGATCTGGATGAGTTGGATCAGTTTGATGATAGCCTGGTTCCATTGTTGGTGTGTAGGTTTTGCCTTTTTGACTACCATCAGTTGCTCGATCATTTAGTATGAATGAAGCGATCCATTTACCAACAAAAACTCCATTGTTGATGTTGACCTGTCTTCTATTATCACTAACAATTCGTTGCCAATGAAATTTGCGAACAGCATCGAAGATTGGCCGTTGTTTCGGATACAAGTATGACAATGTCTGATAGGCAGATTCCATGATAGCTGCATCGACGGCCGATTCTCGAGAAATATTACCGAGTAGGGAAATATCTTTTGATTTCCACATCGGCTTGAATGCTCGATTGAATGCAGCCAGTGATTCATACATTGCACCGTGGATGATGGCAAATGCTCGCGATGTTGCTGCCGGGCCGATTTGATCAGGTACAGGAGCTATGCTAGGATCATAATCATTAGCACAGGCTTGTAGAGTGACCTTGTTCCACAAAAGAATTGCATCCATCTGTGTTGATTGTAATTCATCAATCATCGAATCAGTTGGTTCTTCTAAGACTGTTCCACGATTGAAAACAGAACATTTTGTCATCAAGACCACAGTTAAGAGCAGTATGATCAGTTTCATATGGGAACCCATGTTTGATCGTCTGGTGATAGAATGAATCAATATTGCTTGTATTTATATGGTTTGTATTTTAGAATATATTAGCAATTTCTAAAGTCAAGCTCCTTGACACAGAATGATTTGTTATTCAATTGAGTACATAATTAAGTCATTTTATGGTCCGATTTATAGTCGCAAACTTGACACTCTGATGACAAGAGTTAGTCGGTTTCAGCCATATAGCGTTAATATTTATGATGAATACATTAATATTGAAAATCACTTGACTCAGTCTGCTCTTATGGTTATTTTTCTGTTTCTTCCGTTTTTAACATGTGAATGTTAGAAGATCGAGAACATTTGCAACTCGAACATGATCTAGTCTGGTTGTGCAAAGTGTGGTTACGAATAAGTCTAAACATTTCAGAACTCGACAATCCAAACGAACTGATCAAAGAAATGGAGATAATTGAATTATGGATAATTTTTCTATACCTTTAATCTATTTGACGATTGAGAAATGTTATTCTACAATAGCAACAATCGCCTACGTTCAAGAATTGACAAAGTAAGGATGTTTTCGCGCTGCACTGTGTGGTACGTGATGCTGTCATGAAGATTTCCTCCTGCCATTGTGGGGTAAAGATGGGACTTGGTTCGCTTTTTTGCAAACCAAAAAGAATCGAAATCGAAAACTACTCAAACACAATGGAAACTTTTCTGGACCTATTTAGGATATTAAAATAAGCTCTTATTATAAAATTGAAAATAGTGAAAGCAAGTAAAAAACCACGATATTAAAACTGCTTTTCTTCCTTCCCATCTATATGATTGATATTTTTTCCATTTCTTTTGCAACATATTTCGTGCTCGTGTCAATGTATATGGGAATAGAGAATCAAATAGTTGTTCATTTATTAATACCCGCACTTGATCAGATGAATTTTAAACAATCTAAAGCAACAACCAGGTACAGTAGCTACCAAAAATTATTCGACAAACAAGTAAAACTCTTTTGTTCTCTTTATATCTCAAAATATAAAAAAGGTAAAATGGTTTGATTTTTACCATATCATAGTCCATAAGCTCTAGTATACATGTACAAAAATTCAAGTCAAACTACTGATTTTTTTGATTTTATAGGGAGAATAAACCATACTATGCCTTTTCTTTCATTGCTCCAAAAATTAGCTGATAAGGCATTTCCATGATTTACTATATTTTCCTTTTGAAGTAAAACTTGCTTGGTGACATAAAATTCAAAGGATGTGGCTGTGATTGTGTGTGTTGGGATGCACTAAAACAAGGCCTACACCCACACACTCACACCTCAGATTTTAATGAGATCCACAATGTCAAAACTCCTAAAAACCGGGAAAGTGACTTTTCGTCTCGCTTTTTCATTACGAACTCCGGTTGAAATAGTCCGTTACGATCTCCAAACATAAGAAAACAAGGCAGGGTGTTCGAAATGGAGTTCTCAATAACAAAAGTCAATGAAATGTAACAAAAAACAGGATGTTCGAAATGCAATCTTCCAGGAGTTCGTGACGAACTCTGTCAACCCATTGTGAGTGGTTGAACAGCGACATTTTGACTGAAGATTGGAATGAGAATGTCCGGAAATTCGTAAAGTTTTTACTGTAGCAAGCACTTGAACTATTAGCCATGATTATCCACACACAATTGATTAGTATCAACTCATTCGTTGGGAGTTCTTTTCTAATACAATTCGATGCAAAAATTTCATCTCTTAGTTACGGTATTCAACACAATAAATGCTTGTTGTCTAAACGATAGTGTCACAGCAACAAAACGAACATGAAACCTCGTGTCGTTATGGACCGGTATAACAGACTGAATGCAAAAGAATTCGTATACCTCTCGTTTTGACATAATAAAGAAATGTCTTTATATCAATCGTTGCACAGTAGCATCATCTGCTTTCATGACACGAGCGCTAACGAATATTCTCTGCTTCTTCACGTCATTGAGGGTGTGGGTGTGGATGAGGATGTTCATATAGTTCTCTTTTCTTCACTCCGATTCAGACCCAGACTCTTACACCCATACCCTGCCCACAGCCACCCACCCATACCCTGCCCACAGCCACCCACACATCCGCACCCACCATCTGAACTTCAAATAAGATTTCTATTCGATTGATTTTGAATTATAGAAATTGAAAAAAAGATTATTTTTATGATCAATATTGATGATGTAATCTGGAGTTGTTTTCATATTAATTGTACAATCTTCTTTTTCTTTTCTTATAGATGCTTATTACTCTATTAAAAAGAATTTGTTCGTCTTCAAATATTCGATGGTGATGATGCTCATTGACGAAAAAAGAAAAGATTATTGATGTTAAATTAGTCTAGCTTATTGATACAGATCAAATCTTTGTCAATAAATTTGATGAATATTGACTATTTGAAGCAGTTGCTTGAGAAGATGCTGATATACGTCATAATTATATTTTTAATGAATCGTTGAAACTATTGATTAAATGAAATCGTGTTATGTGACAACACGAAACATATGGTATAAGTCTTATTTTGATACCCATATCCGTATTTCGACATAAGATTTTGATAAAACGACATTTCTTTCTCCTTATCTGTTTTCTGGCTGATCAGTCGTGCTGGTTCAATGGGTAAAAATTCTTGACTATGTACTTATGAAACATTGTTAAGATGAGTCTGTTAGAGAATAGATCATAGACGAGCAGAAACTTCTTCTTTGGATTTGATTCAGAGGAGAAACTATTGACATTACTGTTGAAGTACAATCAAATTCAGTCCAATGGTAATATCATCCTCATAATACATTCGATATTCGTCTAATACATTGTTCAAGCGATTAGCCAAGAGAACTCTAAATCAGACCGGTCTTCTATCTAGAACTATAACTAGTAATTATAGTTGTAGGGAAGAGATTACACTAATAGAATTGCTTTCCAGTAGTATTCTGAATGGAGTTTTTTTTTCATTCTAGACCTAATCCTTCAACGGCATCTTTTTCGGCATCATACAATACTTTTCTTTATTCAATGTTACACACGAAATGTCTAATGTGTTCGATAATAACTAATAATCTCCATGACATGTTCGGGAAAATTGATTTCTTCATTCAATTGCTGACCTTTTTGTAAACAATCAGCTTTTGTTAGTGATGAACCATCAATATTGCTCAGTACTTGTCTTCCCCATTCAATCTTATTTGTTTCCAGCATCATATTAATTTCTTCTTTGGTTATTTCACTATGAACTTGTCCGAATTGTAAAACTTTCAATGTTGTTAATGTTCGATTTTCTCTCAATGCATCTCGTAATTTCATCAAACCTCGTTGTGAAATACCATTAAATGTCAAATCAATTGAACGAATATATTCATTCGATCGAATCAATCTACTTACTTCACCAGCACCTTCATCACCAATAACATTATCAAGTCCACCAAGTAAAATAGTTGCTTTCATAAAGCCAAGATTCAATTGTTGTAACGATGGATGAGCAATGAGTGCATCAACTAGAGCTCGTACACCGTCCGGACCAATGCAATTCGATGCTAAGCCTAATCGTTTCAAATGTTGATCATGCTTCAACCCAACTGCTATTTCAGAAGTACCTCCGTCTCCGAAAGCATTGCATGATAAATACAATGATTCTAACTGGTTATCATTTTCTTCGAAATGTAAACGAATAATTCGTCCACTTTTCACGGTTAAACCATTAGTATCCAAATACAAATGTTTTAATGTACGATTGACTTTGAATGCATCGAATAAGATTTTACAACCTTCATCTAATAGTCCAGTATTGAGTAAATCTAATGTTTGTAAATAATGATTTGTTCGTAACATTTGAGCTATATGAACAACACCCGAAGTTAAGATTGGATTTCGTTTTAACCAAAGTGCTTTAACTTTCATATCATTCACCAATGCATTACATATCAATGATATACATTCACTATCGAAATTATTTCCAGCGATATACCACGTATCAATATGAGAATCCTGATTAAAACGAATGTAGTTCGATATCGCTTGAGCACCCGGAAGACCGACAATATTATTTCCTAGAATAATCGAAAGAGAAATGTTTGAAGTATATCTATCAGACTTACCAAGCAATAATCGATTGACAACATCGCTATTCTTCATAGCATTGAGTAATGGTTGAATACCCTGTGGACCGACGACTTGTTTACATAAATCTAATCGTCCATCAGACATGATAGTACCGCGGGTGAAAACTACTGGTTGATTTTCGTCTCCAGGTCCAGATTTATTCGATGTTAAATGATCGAAAAGTGGTTGTAGATCTTCCAATGCACATGGAACAACTAAAGATAATCGTTCTTAAATGAGGATATATTGATCATTTGAGGCAGACAAACCTGGTTCTGGCTCAGGGTTTGTGATGTAAGTGGAAGGTGGAGCGTTTAGTAATTCTTCTCGTTGTTCTTTTGTTAATCGTAAAGCTCGATCTTTTCGATTTCTTGATCTCGCTTGTTCATTGACGAATGTTGGTGAGGCTTTCTCCAATACTTGACAAACAGCTGAAATCAATCGTTTATATAATAAATAAGCATAGCCTTTTTCTGCTTTTAACTGTCGTTCATTGTTCATAGCTGTAGGAGACAATGGATGCATATATCGAGCTATGTCTTTTGCCATTACTAAATTATAACAGAGAGATAGAAAGAAATTACACAAAGAGCTTACCTGTATTGATGTTCTTTGGATTATTAGAAATTCTCGGCGCTTCTTTCGCACAATTGCTAATCCATTCTTGACTTTCGATATTCATTTGTTCTTCCTTCTCATTAGATAACTCATCTGGTTGCTTCAAAATAGTTCGATGATCTTGTCGTAGTTGATCAGCAAACATTTTCACACATGCACTTTTTAACTGATCTAGTAATCCTTTCTGATCTGGGTATTCACCTTCCATTTGGGAAGCACAGACATAGAGTGTCTTCAAATCTGCCCAACTACCGTATTTAGGGATAATGCTTAAATAAGACGAAAGGACTTCATCAGACTTTTTCAGATACAATAAAAGCCAATGTCGAAAAAATAAGGATGATGAATCCTCCGTGTTGTGAAAACCCGTTCGTTTTGACCAGATCAACAACATAACATCATCCAATAAATGATCATTAATATGATCAATAATCGTCTCCAGAGTTGATTTGTCCATGGGTTTTGATAAACCAACAAGAATGACAGGCAATTTGTTTTCTTTTCGTTCTGCGGATAGTAAGGTCACAATTCGCTTTTGATGAAATTTGATTGTTGCTTTGAGTTTCTCTTCAAATGTGATCAGAGATTGAGGTAGATTTTCACCAAAGCTCGATATTCCATCAGACTGATGCAATAGTTGTTGCTGTTGATCGAGTAAAAATTGTTTGATATTATTAGTTGGCCAGGTATTCGGCGTAAAATGACCACCTGGATGTGAAACAATAATCGGATTTTCGAATGCCGCTGCTAATTTCAAGGTTCGATCGCTTGTAATTAAAACATCATTGACTCCATAGATATGCAACGACGAGATATTTTTAATCGCATTCGGTTGCATTAAATGTTCATGACACTCCGCTCGAGAAGCAAAACCCGAGATGAGGATCGCAAAATGAAAGGATATATTTCCAAATGGTTGTAATCCACACAGAATTCCACCTAAAGCCGCTCCTTGCTAAATAGAAAAAAAACACATATTGATTCGAATGAAAGTACTGACAAACATACAGCAAAGCCAAAAACACCATCGAATGGTCCATCGGACTTGAATAATTTGTCCAAATAATGTAATGAAACATCCAAGTGATGATAGATTTTACTATCTTTTGACGCATTCCACCATTGTCGTTGATAACTTATTTCGGGAAGATTTCCATCACCAAAAGCAGTGAGAAGCTGTTCTTTGACTTCACCGGTAGGGTTATACGGTAAAGGAGCATTAGCAAAATAGAATGTGGCAATGCCTTTTAATTCTCGAAAGAGTTTTTTTCGCACTACGTTTCAAACTATTCGAATTCTGATGAAAACCATGCAGAACAAGGATTTTTAGAGATGGATACGTCGAAGAAGTATTTGCAGGCATCGGTATGGAAGATGATGGGCATTGAATTGTTTGAACAGATCGTACAAATCCATTGCGTGCTGTTTTTAAATATTCTTCTTCTTCCGGAGTAGATTGTCTTCCAAGAAGATGATTTCGATGAGGATAACGACCGTACAATTCTATAATTTTTTGATGAACGCGTGCTGATCGAGCATTGCAGTGTTTTATCCAGTGGGGGGGCATGGGACATTTTGCCCCCCCGGAGACCACGTTTGCCCCCCCGAGAAAAATGAAATAAGTTTTAAAAAAATCAATATAATTGTTCTAAAATTATTTTTTACGACAGATTTTGTGAGTTGTTAATTAATCTGATGTTGTTAAAATAGAATCAGTATTTTATCTAGCGTGGGGGCAGGACGAACTGCACTCTTCCGGAGATTGCATTGGCTCCCTCCCGAATAATTTGAAATATCTTTCAGGAAGAAAAACGAGCAGTACTGCTTGTCTAAAACTTTTCGCTCGATGAAAATTTGGAGGAAATGTCATGTGACCAAAAATGAACAAAATCATTTACTGTATTAGAAAAATATCACATACAATATTGAAATGAAAAACAATTACCGAAAAAAGTAGTATTTTCCATAAATAATGACTCTCAATAATTATAGTTCATTGTTTTTGGTCTAACTCTACTAGTCTAGAGTTTTAACCAGTTATAATGGTGGCAAGTAGTACCTATTATCGATTAATTAAAAGGGTTCTATAAAGCACTGTTATGTGACTAAAAATCTATTGTGATGACTTCAACTGTTGTAGTTTCAATAGGCTTGAGTCACTTATAATTCGCCATATGAGTGTTTTGTTTAGCACCAATTTAGAAGGAAGACCGACATTCCATAATAATTGGGGTTCAATTCATATCGTACGAACCGATCGAAAATCGTCGGTTAATTCCGGCTACTTTTGTGACTGACAGTTAACCGCGGTCATTTCCTTTGCTCTCAAGGTTCCACAGCGTAAAAACCGACGGTTAACCGCGGTTAACCTCCAGGTTGACCGAAGAAATATTGGCCAGAAGTGCTAACTTTTTCGGTCAGGCGGGAGGTTAGCCGCGGTTAACCGTCGGTTTTTACGCTGTGAAAGCTTGAGAACAAAGAAAATAATCGCGGTTAACCATGAATCACAAAAATAACCGGAATTAACCAACGGTTTTCGATCGGTTCATATGACACGGGAACCTCGTGTACACTATTATTGTGTCGTTAGAGAGCCTACGGAATACGCACATGATTTATTATTTACAGTTGCTGAGCGAAAAGAATGAAACTAGTATTTTTTCTTGTCTCTTCTCTGATTTATGTTTGATCTCCATTAGACAATCAATATCATCCTACAGTGTAATGTATTTCTATTTCTGGGCAGAATTTTTCAAAAAAAATTTCGGGCTACTGTTCACATCCATATTTTTTCAACATTTTTTCGTTGAAGTTTTTACGTTCAAACACGTACTTTGGTGAATATTATTCAATGATAATGCTTTAGTAATTTGAATCAGGGTCGAACTTTCTCGTTGCGCATCACTATTTCGAAATTTTTCAAAATTGCAGGAATTTTCTGTTTAAAAGTTGAGATGAGGAGTATTTCCATCGTTACTGTCTATTTTATCTTCCGGACAATATCAAGATAAGAAAATCGCCTTAAAAAAACTTTCAACTGCTAAAATTTTCGCTTGCCCCTCCGAGAAGTAAATTTGCCCCCCCGGAGCAAAAAACCTGGATAAAACACTGGAGCATTGGTTGCATAACGTCGACGAACATCACGTTGAGTCACTTCAGATGCCAACTGTTCCAGTTGATCAGCACCTTTGGTAGTGTAAATGAGGTTCTCGGAATGAACCAATGGAAGATAGATAAAGAGACGTTCAGGTAAACTGTAAGATTTAATATGTGTGCAATGTTCAGTGATTTCAAGGGCTAATGAAAGTGCCAAAGAATCAAATTCGAACATTTTCGCTGTACCTCGATACATATTTCGAGAAAATTGATCCAATAAGATAATAAGAGCCAGTTTGCCTCGATCGGTCTTTTTCCAACGTTGATAAAGATCACTATTCGGTCTTGCTGCGTCGATTAACAAACCTTCGAATTTCTCTTTAATCTCTCGATCAACTTGTTCTTGAACTTTAAACCAAAGTTTTGTATTCAACGGATACGTTTTCGACCATGTATTAATATTTTCACCAAACCAATATGAATATATCTGTTCAATAGCTTGACTATCTTCATTAATGTCCTTGATATCATCTTTCAAAAACAGATCATTTCCAATATGTCCAGGTGAAGGATAATATTCTACGACAGCAGTCATTTCAGCGATACTTTGATTATTGTTTATTAAAAAAACTGCTGATGGCGATTACAAACTATTGCATCAGATAGAAATTACACAATCATGTTGAAATACTCAACTGAGATGAATAATCCAATCATGTTGTCTTGTAAGAATAGATGGAGTCAAATGTCAGACATTTATTTTCAGATGTTGCTGAAAATTCCATAGACACACAAAGAACATACTCTAGTCTTCAATCAACGAATATATATAGAAAGATGATCGATACGACTAGATTCTTATCAGTGCGTGTGCTGTATCAAAATAGTGAACTTTTTAACCGAAATCAACGCTAGAATATTCAAAACATGTAGTCTTTTGAGGAACTCGGTTTAAATGTAGTAAATTATATGTTTGAGCAATAAAGATTTGGTTTAATAGATGTCTTGTCAATTATCAAGGAACGAAATTTAGTGTATTTCATAAATTCTATTTTAAAGGTGATTTAGTCATTCTTGAAAGTCTTGGTTATGTATTAGATTGAACAAAACTTTGATCATGTGTGAGTTCGTTGACTGAAGGTGTCAGAAAAGTATTCCATAGCATATTTTTCCATTGCATTGATTCATGCTCGTATCTGTTGAATTTCGAGACCAGAAAACTATGTTGAGATTGCAGCCATTGGTTGTCTTTTCCTATAACAATCAAACCCTTGTATTCCATAATTCTTGTGAAAGCATGTGGTTGAGTGAAGAATCATTTTAAAGAACCGAGTTCATACGTTTTTTCTTTTATGAAATGTGGGTATAGATGCAGATACAAGCGTGAGTGACGGTGGTAAGAACGAAGTACACTCACTCAATAATGCAAAAGTGCAATAGTATTTGTAAATTTAATATACCGTTGTGATAGAGTATCGCAGACTTCAGTGCTTTTTTCCTTGGTTAGATACATTAAACTATTCAGTGCAAAAAAATCACGTGGAAGTTTATTGAAATTTTTTCAAAGATTAGAAAGATTTTGAAACAAAACACGTTGAAAAGTTCTTTAGCAACTTTGGTCTTTATGTTAACAAAATATGTTACTTTAAGCTTTTTCCATTATCGACTGGAGCACTCTTCAAAGATCATGTATATACATTTATGCATTAAAATCAAGGCTTTCATTTAGCGTTAAAATGAGTGATCTAGTACATAAGAGAATAGATAGCAGACGATGAGATAAAAAAAATTCGATTTATTTACTTTGAAGTTCACAAAATTAAAAAATTGATAGTTGAATATTGTAACGACAAACCAGATTGGAATAGTCTACCGCCATCATCGGTAATGATGTTTATTCAGCTACTTCACATATGCAGAGTGTATCTACTTCATACACAACGCAAGCTTATATAGAAGAGAGCAAGAGAAAAATCAGTGAAATGTGACCTCAGTATTGGCGCAAATATCTCACATAGTAAATTTCTATTTTGTTCAAAATGATATCATTTCTTAAAGGACTCAATAGTCTTCTTTTATCATATAAAGTCTACAAATTCAGACAACCTATCTTGTGAAATAGACTTGATTTTTCAACTGTAAGAGTCAAAAATCTTGAGTAGGAGAATCTAACACACCTCTTATAATTGAAATTCCATATATTTTTCAAAGCACTTCAACTTCTTCTGTGAATTTCACTGACGACTACTCCTCAAAATTATGAGCAACCTCTTTCTAATGGTGAAAACCGCAGATCAATAGCTCTTTCTGTTGAAAAATTATTCGAAAAACGACCATTCTTCTTTTATTTTGAAATGGCCATTAGTCGATTCGATTATCAGATAATTCTTTCTTCAAATTTCTCTTGTTCACTTAAAGATCAGAATGATCCAGCGAATTTGTGCTTTCTATCTTTTTACTGAATCAAAACACAATTAATTCTTTTTGTTTAATTGTTAACATTTTGGATTTTATCTTGATGTTTTCTGATTTCGAACAAGAACCAAAACGAAAATCGTGTATAGGTGTGAATGGATGAGTGAGAATGAACGAAAGATCGATTCTTACGTTTACTCAACTAAACGTTCCATCCGTAAGACGTGATGATAAGCAGAATAGAAACCATCGGAGTTCTTCCTCACTTGAGCTTTTTGATATTTCCAAATTAGATAAAACACTGAAAGTGTACAATTCGAATTAGTCATTATGATCGATCTATTAATAAATATTTTATTTGAAAAAATAAAAGAATATACTAAAGTAAAATATACGACTTATAAAGTTTGATGATTTGTATGTGTTACAACTAAATAAAAACTAACTATGATTTATTTGAAACTAGAAATTTCTTTCATATAAAAGTCTCTAAATGAAAGACCAACGTCAATAATCTTGTCGTCGAATGTCAGTAACTTTTTCTTCTGGGTCTTCGTAACGATATGAGACAACGGCACGTTTTTCTCGTACAGGTTCAGGCTTTCCAACGACGCATGGTTTCACTAGTACATTACCACCTATTGTACAGGGACCTAAACGAATTTCATGAACTCTATAGCCTAAAAGAAGAAAGAACGATGAATGTTAAATCAGACTTCATGATTCGAGCACAACCAAAGCCTTTTATTACCTTGACTTTCTAATTCTTGTTTCACTGTCTTAAAACTTTGCCCGACATATTTCTGTAGTTCTTCAGTAGTGGATGCCATAAATTTCTTTTTATGCTGTTTATATTACCTTGACGTATTTTGATTGTAAACAAAATGAATCGGCAACTTATGTTATTCTTTTAAGTAATGTATTTTCTCTTGCTTATTCTAGTACAATTTTTACCTGATATGTATCTGGTAAAATAACGGAAAGTAGAAGAGAAACATGTAACCGTGTTGCGTGCAGAAACTCCGCATGATTTCATGGTTCATTAATTTCTATTATTGTAGGTATGTAAGTTAATGAGAAAACTCAGAATACAAACATAAATAAGGATACAATCTTTTTTTCCTGTCGTATATGTTTTTGCTGCAACATGTCATGCATACGAGGGCTATCAATAGAAAAGACGAAAGCGTTGGTTTTTTTATATTGATAGTTTTCATCGAATATCATTGGTTATTCTTAATTAGTTGTGAATGTATGTATACGTGCAAGTATTAGTGTTTATGAATGGCCTGAGATTTTTCAGCGTTAAAAGACGGATTTCATTTGATTTAATCTTTTTTAATCTATTTCAGTCCGTTAAAATACTTTAATCAATGGAAATTGATTTTTTATTATTAACTACAATTGATTCAATCTTAATAATAGATTAAAACCGATGAAATCTGTCTTTTAAGGCTAAAAAATTTTATTAAAATTAGATTATAATAGTACCATTATTACTAGTTTTTAATCCAATTTTTAATCTTTTTCTTTACCATGAATATATAAGCTTTTAGAATAATATCGTCTGATAGAGCACATATTTCATCGAAGTTTTCTTTGCTCAAGTCCTTTAACATATCTATATTAGGATCTACGACATGTTGATGATAGAAGTATGTGTGAATAAGAAATGCAGTGTTATGAGTACATCACTCAAATTATTTAATAACATAATCAATAACGAAAGTTCTCAAACAATTTGAAAACTCCACTTTACCGAATCTTGAGCACTTCTGTGCTGAAAAATAAATCAAACAATACCTATCGTAATAAAAGCCTACCTCTAAACATTTGATTTGTAAAACAAGTTAGAAGCCCAGTGGGCTATTATTTTATGAAGGGAGAAGGGGAGAATGGTTTATTCAATCATGTATATAAAATACATTTAAATGAAAAAAAAAATGAATGTATGAAGTCTTGGAAAAAAAAACAAACCAATAAAATCACTTTATTTTTTAGTTTTTAATCGTTTATTTCTTGCGACCATGATTTTAAAAAATCCCTCTGGCCATAATCTTCTTAACCATATTGCTAAATATTGTTGAAATGGTGCAATAATAACATCATTTTCTCTATATTCAATTGCTTTAATAATTCGTTCAGCAACATAATCAGGTTCATATGCTGATGATTTATTATCTTCAATTAATTTTTCATTTTTATTATTCATTCGATTTAATGCTTGTTGACCAAGTTCCGTTCGAATATATGATGGACTAATTACACAAACATTTATATTTTGTTCGGCATATTGTTCTTTAAGTTCCATTCTTAATGAATCACTAAATGCTTGTACAGCATGTTTAGATGCTGAATATGAACTACGATCAGGTACAGCAATAAGACCTTGTAAACTTGATATATTAACAATAGTTGAATTTTTTTGTTTTTTTTCAATTATGTTTGTTAAAATTAATTTTGTTAATGTAACAAGTGAAAAATAATTTAAACGAAATATATCATTAACAATATCAATTGATGTATCAAGTACAGATGAACGTTGACTTATACCAGCATTATTAATTAAACAATCAATTGATTCATGTTCAAGAATATTCATTAAAATTGTTGATGATGTTATTTTTTCATAATTAGATAAATCAATTTGTATTACTTTTGGTATTGGATATGTTGGATGTAAATTAGAAAGTTCTTGACGTAAATTTTCAAGACGATCTATACGTCTTGCTAAAAGAATTAATTGACATTGTTTATTAAAAAGATGTCTTGCTAATGCTTCACCAAGACCTGATGAAGCGCCAGTAATTAAAACTGTTTTTCCATCAATATGAATTCGTTTTCGACATAATAAACGAAGAATTATTAATGAACAACAACAACAACTAATTGAAACAGCAATTAACCAAATCATCTGCAAGAATAAATTCTTTTTTTTTTTTATTTTAAGGTTGAAATTTTATATATATTGAAATACAATATTAAATTGCACCAAAAAAAAAAAGAGAAACGGAATGTATTTATTTAAGAGTGAAAAGCAATATTGTCATCAATAGATTGAATGTTACGTGGTATTTTATGTAATTCAGGCCATTGCCATGTTAACGAGCCAAAATATTGATAACTTGTGTCATATAATTGCATACGAACAAATTCTTCTTTATCTTTTGGTTCTAAATCAAGTATAAAATTGAATTTAAAAAAAAAATAAAAAAACACAAACAAGAATTTACCTGGATAATACCAAGCTTTCTTTTCTTTATAAAGATATTCGACTAAATGAGCAGCAATTTTAATAGTCACTTCACGAAGAGTTGGTATAGGTGGATAAACACGACCTGAATCTAATTCTTTTTGAGTTAATAATGAACCAAGTTTCTTCAACAAAAAATATATTTCAGTTAAGAAAATTATATATGTGAATATCATTGTATATTAACTATCCATATGCATACACTAATCTAATGCTAGATGCTTTATGAAGGCTATCACAAACATGTCTAATAGAATTTACTGTTTATTTAGATACTAATATTTTCTGCTTAGCAAATCAATGTTGTTTTTCTTTTTTGAAAATTTAGCATTACAAACATTGAATATTTTTTTTTTTACTCTATTTCTAATTTACTTTTGGTGAGTTATTCAATCAACATGTTAGATTTTCTCTCATAACAAATTATAACAATCGAGGTATTAGTGATGTTCCTAAGAAATTCACATGTATCATTGTATCATTTCATCATGTTTTTTTTTTTTCATGAAAAATCTTCTATTTGTCAATTTGACAGCATTGTAACACAAAGAAAACTATATTTCAAATGTAGATAAATACAAAAAATAATGATGCCTATTTTTAATTACAATAATCACTATCTCGATGTTCCTCAAAGAAATTTAATAAAAAATAATAAAATTTTCAATATTATTCAATAGTCTATATAGTATTTTCTTGCCTACAGCAACTTGATACAATCTAAAACTTGTTAAAAACAAACAAGAAATTACTTGAGCAGCTATTAAAAACATATCATCTTCCACATGACGAGCTGCACATGCAATAGTAGCTAAAGCAATAGCTGGAAATATATATGCATTATTTCCTTGACCTAGAAACAATAGATAATCTCGAAAAACATTAATAATTATCTTCGATTATGGTACCCGAATGAAATGTTTTGTCTTTATATATGACTGGTTTAAATGCACTACCTGATGCAAATACACATTTACCCTAAACAACATAAAAAAAAATGAAAAAATTCAATGAACAAATACTTATTTACATCTGTTTCTCGATATGCTTCTTCAGCTGTACATTCAGCTCGATTAATTGGATTTGATCTATTAAAATAAAAATTTTTTTTTCTTTTATTTGTTTCTATTTCAATAGTAATAATTTATTATACAAAGCAAAAATAATCGGACGTTCATTAATTTGAGCCATTTTTCTAAGTACACCATCATGAAAAAGTCTTGCTACTCCACTAGCACCTATGAAAGAAAAAAGAAAATCAAAATAATATAAAAATTTTTATAATTTGAAATAAAATACGATAAATACCCATGAGTACAGTTGGTTTGACATAATCAATTACTGATGAAAGATCTTTAATTGCTCTTCCTTTTTTTATATAAGATATTTTTGGACCTTTTAAATCACCTTGAGGTCGATTCTACATAACAAAAAAAACAAACAAACAAACATTTCAATACATTAAAAAAATCACTTGCTTTTTCTATTTTGTAAAACTTACTTGAACAATAAGTCCATGTATATCATACATCCAAATTTTACTTCGTGCTTCTTCAATTGAAGATCCTTCACGTACCATTGCATGTGTTATTAAATCAGCTATACCACAGGCTGCCTATAACTAATATGTTATTTAAAATTGAATTGATAAGTTCTATGTTTTGCTTACTTGACCAGCACCAACAAAAAGATATGTATTTTCACTTAATTTTTTACCGGTTATACGAAGTGCTGCAATGACACCAGCAAGAACAACTGCAGCTGTACCTAAATTAAGAAATTATTCTATTTGTTTTTTCCTAATAAATCTATTGAATCGTGTCAAATAGTCTGAAATTTGAGATAAAGGTAAAAATAACCGAGGATAATCTTTTCTATCACATTTCCGTGTTCCCAAACACGTATTGATAATCATTATCCTTATTTATATCATACTCAATGATCGTTAACATACTACTAGCTAGACAATATTCAAAGTTTGATTTTATTTTCTTCTTATTTCGTACAGTTTGAATAAGAATATAGAATGATTTTGATGAGTTCTACTCGAAAGAGTTATTTTCAATATATTCTCTCTTTAGATATCTAACCTTGAATATCATCATTAAATGTACAATATTGTTTTTGATATTTTTCAAGAAGTTTTTGTGCATTATGACTAGCAAAATCTTCAAATTGTATAAGGCAATGCCAGCCAAAACTAGAGAATTATTGTTTTTTATTTTTTATCAATTAAATATTTATGTAATTTACCGTTGTACAATTGCTTGCATAAATTCATTGATGAACTCATCATATTCTTTACCCACGACACGTTTTTGTCGTAGACCAATATAAAGAGGATTTGATGAAATCTCCTTAAAAAAAACAGAGTAGAAACTTACTTTTTTTTTCGTCCCATAAGAATTCTTATCTACTAACTTCATTATTAGTACCAACATCAAGCAAAATAGGTAAGCAATGTCGTGGTGATATGCCAGCAATAGCTAAAAAAAAAAAACACATATCAATTATTATTTTGTTTTTTGTGATTTATTTGACCTGAATATCGGAAACCTTGATTTCAATTAGTTTCGGAATGATCTCATAGAATTTTAGAATTCTTTCCATCAAAAGGAAATTATTATGAGTTGTATCCGTTTCGATTATTTTATAAAATCTTATTCAGTGTTTCCAACTAGTATCATAACATAGAACAATGTTTATATTGTTTATTTCAATCAGAAACAACATAGTTATTAAGGTCGATGATATCCTCTGTTTAATATACGAGAACTACTTAGGACATACCAAAAGTAGTAGTCCAGATACCTTATTTTCGTATAGAAGGCTTGGAAAATTTTTCTTTGTTTATGAACAGATAGAGCGTCTTTCGCTCTATGTTTCTATGCTATTTGATCGCTATTCAACTAATATCATAATAATAAAATTTCGATAAAAACTGTTTTTGTTGAAAACTAGCTGGTAGCATTTAGATCATAATGGGTGTGGCACTTTTGCATTCCACTTTATTATCACTTACTACGTTGTATTAAAAACACAAAATATACCACAAGATGCAGCGTGAAAAGCTCTACAATTTACAAAGAACAATTATAAAAAGATGAGATAGAAAAAAACCGAATTCGTCTTTTACCAAAAAACAATCTCGTTTTCGTAACGTCGAAATTTGGTAGCTCAGAGTTTTATCCATTTTGAAAACAAAAAGTGCAACTATAACATAAGCGATCTATTATAAATTGTAGAGCTTGTCACGCCGCATCTTGTGGTATGTTTTGTTTTTTTTAATACAACGTAGTAAGCGATAATAAAGTGGAATGCAAAAGTGCCACATCCATTATAATCTAATGCTACCAGCTAGTTTTCAACAAAAAACAGTTTCTATCGAAATTGCATTATTATGATATTAGTTGAATAGCAATCAAATAGCATAGAAACATAGAGCGAAAGGCACTCTATCTGTTCATAAAAAAAGAAAATTTCTCCAAGCCTTCTATACGAAAATAAGGTATTTGGACCACTACTTTTGGTATGACTTAAGTATTTGAATTTCATTGAGCTATGAATAGTTAATAATTATGATTGTGTTTGTAGTACTTATAGAAATTACATAATAGACGATGAAATATAGCTTGAGACTAATAAAATGTATGTTTTTTTTTCTGCACTTAAAAGTTTGACAATGAAAACGAAAAGTACCTAGCTGATAATTTCCTTGTTATTTATATAATCATGTCATAGATAATAACGTGTATTTATATTCATACTATGGTGAATAAAACACAAAGATTTAATGATACAGATATAGTATGTTTTATTCAACATTGTATGTAGGTTGGTAATAGTTGGTTTCTTTTTTTAGTTACGAAATACTTAGAAAAAAAAAACATATTTCATTTCACTAGGACTAATATGTATAATATCATTTAATTTTAATTACCTGTATATAATTGTAATTTACCAACAGGAATACCCATACCAAAAGCACCTAGATCTCCTAAACCTAAAATTCGTTCACCATCAGTGACTACTATTGCTTTAACTTGTTGTTCTGTCCAATTACATAATATATCATAAATATGACCTTTATCATGTATTGTAATAAATAGACCTCTAGAAATATTTTTATTAGGATTTCTTTATATATTAGATAAGAACACGTCAAACCTTGGTCGTCTAAATACTAAACCATATTTTTGACAAGCTAAACCAACTAAAAGAAATGTTTATTTGATATAGTTTGTTTTTCTCTTCTGTATAAAAAAAACAAAAATTATCTACCTGTAGGTACAGAAACAATTGGCATAAGTTTTTCTAAATTATCTAGAAATAATTTAAACTAAATTTAATAATAATATTCGAATCAAAAATCTACCTGCAAGTACTCGATAAAATAATTTTTCATTTCGATCAGATAAATTCATCAATTCATTATATCGATCGAGATCATCTATTAGTAATATAAACATAAAATTATGATAAATATTTCATATAGAATATAGATTTACCTTGTGCTCGCTCAAGATTTTTCATAACACGAAGTATTTGAACATCTTGTGAAACAACTGCGGGTGGTAAAAGACCATGTATACCCATATGTTGTCTTTCTTCGAGTGTAAATGCTGTACCCTAATTGAATAAATAATCTTTATTTATAATTGAAAATTCTTTTATTAAATACTTTATTCAATGCTGGATTTCGGAGTAATTCAACACCTTTGATTGATGAACGAGGTCTAGTAACTGATCGATGTCCATCAGTAACAGTAACTTTATATCGTTGTTGATATTTAACAAAATTAATTTCATGATATAATGATAGAACGGAACAGATATGTCGTTTTGTAATAAAAGACATTGCTTGTGTTTTTTATTTGCTGAATATTATTGCGAATATCTGACTACATGAGTTAACAAATCAATCATCTGAAAAATAATTTACCGAACAATTTAAGAATAAACAAAATTTTTTTTTTGTTAAATTTGTATATATACTTAAAAAGAAGTGCGACATTATTTTAAATTTTAAATGAACTACAACGTTTTTTTTTTTTATAATTGGCTAAATTTATCAATTAAAATAGACAATGATTAAGTATATTATAGTTACATGATCAAGTATCAATTCTTTAATTTTTATCTCATTAATAGAAAAAATTGTTTTATTAATGAAACAGTTACTACTCTATGACAATATTTAATTCTTTGATTATAATCTAAGTTGCATTTTTTTTTGTCAGGAATACATATGTCATTTGTTTTATTACAGTAAAGATATTTACCATTGTGATCGAATAAATTTTCTATTGAAAACAATGTCATAGATAAAATTTCTAGACTAAGCTATTTTAGTATTGATGCTTATAAAAGAAATCATATTAACAATAAATAATTTGATACTCGTAGGTGGATATAAAATAATTAGCCCTTTGACTATCGATGACATGGCAATGTGTTAACAGCTGTAGCATCATATAGAACTGATGTAATTGCCTAAAATAAATGTTTTTGAGAAAATATTCATATAGAAACAAATCATAAGCGCTAGAAGCTTTCCTCTTCTCCGTATTGTTAACATCGATAGTAGATGCCTATGGTAAGAGACAACAATATAGATAGTTACTCTGTTTTATCTTTTGTGAATAAACAAGAGGTTAAGAATTGAATCGTTGTTCTCAAACATTTTTTCAATTTTTGAGAACAAATACATCTTTTATTATGATGACGAATTTTTGATTCAAAAAGAAAAATTAATAAACTGCGTTTCTCATGGAAATATCTTTGTCTTCTGATTTTAATTTAAATTGCAGAAATTTGACGTCATTAAAAAGTACCACTTGTATAAGTGTTGGTTTCAGGTTGCGTTGACTTCTCATTTTCATTTATGATGATATCATGATTTTCTTTTTTTTTTCTTTTTCTAATTTATAAAGATATGTGAAGAGACACGCCCCGTTTAATCGAAGATGAAATGTGTGCAGACAACAAGAGAATGAGAGTCCCATGTGAAACATTTATGCATAAAGTGGCAATATATATTTTCCTTTCGTGCGTGTTCAACTACATAAAAATCTTTTTTACCGTTGCAGTCATATACAATAAATAAGATAGTTAAATAGTTCTGTTTTATTCTGTAATAATGAATTCATTATAGTACAAGAGAAAGTAGATAACATATAAATATTTATATATAGATTTCTTTACGTGATAAACATATTATTTGTGTAATTAGAGATTAATCTATTTGTCATGCATATTCATTAATTATATGGAAAATTTTGATGAGTGCTTTAAAAGAGAGATCTTAAACATGCACAAAAACTCATTTCTTAAAAACTATGTGAGATTTATTACTTTTTTTTTTTCTTCTGTACTCTCTCTTTTCTATGTTGTAGACTGTTTGAAAAACAATTTTTATACTTTTCTTTTTGTTCATTTGTTTTTCTTTTACAGTCTGTGAAACATCGATAAGAAAACATAATCCTTTCTTATTATTAAAACAATTATAATTATCTTATTGGAAAAATTAAATATCTACTAAAAAACAAAACAAAATCATGTCGATCATCAAAGATAAATTTGCTAATCGTGTGTCATGGATTGTATTTATTTTCCTTGCTATTCAAACAACTCAAATTCTTTCGGGTTTCACTGATGTTCCACGTAAGTTATTTTAAAAGAATTTAATTAGAAATTTAATTTCTTTTTTTTTGTTTTTCCTTAGCTCCACCTCCACGACCAGAACGTTTTCATTCTCGTGAAGAACTTAAACGTTATTTACAACTTGTATGTTTATATCTATTTTTTAATTTGATTAAAAAAAAGAAAAAAAAATTTTAATTTAAGGTACACGAATATTATGCTATCATTGGTCGACCACGTTTTGGTCGTTCTACCGTACAACCACGGATGGATCCAAGTGATGTTAGTCTCTTTAATTTCTTTGATATAAATGGTGACAAATCAATATCATACGAGGAATTGCATGACCGACTTGGAGTATAAATAAATACTGTATGTGTAGCATTACACATATACTATTACGCGTTAACATTTATTTTCTTTTTATTGTGTTTTTTTTTCATCTGTAGATGAACTTATTTTCACTTCAGTGATTATGATTCATGTTGTTTCAAAGTGGTCTGCGATTCTTTGCTTGCTTCTTCTATATATCTTCTATATTACTTGTATATCTATCATCTTGTATACGAATACAATAAAATTGACCATACCCGATCTATATTAATTAACATAGAACACATGTAGTAGAGAGCTACAATACATATATTTCCTAGTTATACATTCTGAAAGTCTTTGCAACTGACTGTTACGGTATATCTTTATGCTTCAGCTTGTATCAGTTAATCAAAAAATATATCAGATGTCATATTCTATGAAATTAATTATATATTTTTCTTTAGAGATTTTGAAATTTTCTCTCATCATAAATATTGTCTAACTTATAATTTCATAAAACATAATTGGAATACACTGAATGCACTTGGAATTATTTTAGGTACGAGAAATCTGCATTTTTTAGTAAATTTATGTTTTATTAAATAATTTATGACTAATATAAGAATAAGTCTTTTAACATAGTAATTAACTATGTTGATAGCATGTTAGATTCTCTAGCGTTGTGCATGGTAAGGACGCATTCATTCGACTTTTATTATTTCCTGACTAATATTATGAATCATTTCAAGAGTTCCTCATATATTCTTCATTATTATAGTCTATATTGTTTTAACTAACATTTTTTTACAATGCTATACTAAACTTGACAATATATTACTACTGTGTTCTTTGGCGAAGTATACAATATGTGCATCAAAAGTAATGAAAGATCTATTCATGTAATATGAGAGCTTTCCCTTGTTAGTACCATTGAGTGTGTGATTTTTATTTTTTACGAAATACTAAAAATTGTTTCACGCTATTAGAATGAATAACTGTTTTTCCAAAAAAAAAAACTCATTTTTATATTAGTCATAAATTATTTAAAAAAAATAAAGAGATCAGAAAAAAATGCGGATTTTTGGTACTTAACAATTCCGAGTGCGTTCAGTATAGTTAAAACATTTTTTTTTAAAGGAATATGTGACGCGAGAGAATTTCAAGTTTTCTAAAAATATATCGTAACATTCATAAAAATCTATTTCTATAATTATTATAAATTTAAAAAAATAATAATAGATATATATACTAAAATAAATTATTATTATGTTTTCATATATTCAATTACAAGAAAAAAAAACATATAAAGAGAATTGAAATTCAAAGCTTGTATGTATTAGCTAATTAGGTACTATGATTCTAATAAAACGAAAGTCAAATCTTATTATTGTTGACAAAAAAAGTGTTCAGTTAATTCGATCCATTTTTGAATTTTTGTAATGTAAGCAAAAAAAAAATATATTAAATTTCATTTGCCGAAATATTTTAAAGAAAAATTTGAAGTATTTTTAGTCATATGAAACTCATTTATTAATCATTTCATATGACTCGTTTCTATGACAAATGGGTCATGCAGTTGTTGTTATTTGTTTTTAATAGGATATTGTTAAATAAAATAAAGCTTTTAAGACTATTTTCATAGTATTTAATTTTCTGAGAAAAATAGAATTTGAATTTCTATTATAAAGACTTAATTTGAAATCTTCTCTATCAGATTTAAAAATTAAAAATTAATTATCAAAGTAGATTTTGAAGTACAAAAGTTGACTCATGTATTTATGAAATGTTCAAAATTATTGACTCCTACGTTTTCATTGAATGATGTAAAAGTCACTCATATTATGCATACATGTGTGTAATTGATAATTAACAAACAAAAAGGAAAAAAAAACCTGTATGATAAATTGCAAAACAGGATTTATTGTTAGACGTTTATGAATAAAACTGTAACTTATTTAATAAGATTTATTATTTTATCAAGAAAAGAAATATTCATATCATAGGCGTTAATATATGGGAAATTACTATGGATTAGTATTCTTCAACAAATAAAACATGTTTCCTTTGAAGATAAAGATTTATTTAAATAAGATTTTTTTTTTCTATTAAATTTTATCTTATAATTAATCTTAATAGGATTATGTTATTAAATGGATGATAACAGTCTTCACAAACAAATATTAGGTAGATAATGTTACGTAATGTACAGTAAATGATTGCTAGTAAACATTCCTCACGGTATTATGATTTAACAAAATGTTATAATACATTATTTATAGTAGTACGCCAATATAACTTTTGTATTTGTACTCATTGTTCGCACTATAGATGTATGAAGGTTTTTACTATGATATATGAATCGCTGTCAACGCCTGTTTAATATCAGATTTCTGAAGATCTATATAAATATTGAGTTGTTTTATTTTGAATTCCAGTCATATACTAACAATGGAAATCTACCAGTTGATTAATCGCTTTTGAATCAAGACTATATGCATTATGTGGACTCCAACGAATATCTGAAATTCGAAAATCAGTTTTCTCGATGTCGCTAAGAGAGACTACAGCATTTACTTAGAAATATATCGCAACAATACAACACCTCCGTAGTAATAAACTATTTATAGCTCATTCGAGTTTCTATGATGTATGGAAAACTTTTCTCATAAGTTTTGAGTGGAAACATTTGACCTTACGCGATTGAATTATTCTTACCTAATTCGAATGTTAAAAGCAGCATTCATTTTATGTTTGTATTTTCCTACCTTTTAAACAATAATAAATAACCTCGATAATGTATTTTATTGCAGTTATAACTTTGTTACGATTTATATAAAACAGGTTGAATTCTATATATCAGAAATGAAAAAACTGCTCCTAACAAACAACGTAGTCAATTAATCATCTAATGTATTTACCTGATAATTTCAAATAAATATAAGTCTCATATTTGAAAACCAATGTTAATCCATTGTTATAATAACATATGTATATCTTCCATTGTATGATTCAAAAAAATTCTCTATTAATTATTTCTTTTTTTGTCTTTTGTAAAAGCCATTGGAAAATAATACATGACTAAGACATCTAGAGAAATACAATCTAAGTTTTATTTGTTGGAGTTTAAAAAAAAAGAATGAAAAGGAACAGGATCATATCTTTGTTTAAAGAAGGAAATCAATAATCATAAACTATTCGGATGCAAAAAAAAAAAGTTCGTATGGTTTTATCGTTTGTTCACTCTACATATCATCAACCGATTTTAAAGCCAATTCAGGTTTATTATAACCTAAATCTTCTGGTGTTGATACACCTAATTGATTCAATGTTGGACGAATTTCTTGAAGAATCCATGGCCATACTTGATTTGAAACAGCATTTGATTTATAACGTATAGCTTCTAAATATCGAACAGCTAATGAATGATCATTAACACGTCGACATGCTTTTAAACAAGCTGTTATAATTTCTGGTTCAGGAATTAAATCAAGACGATTCATATGATTAATACCTTGTCGAATATCCCAACCTGAAATCTCCCCAAGCAAAAAAAATTATTTTCATATTTCGATTTTTAATTCATTTTAAATTACCATCAATATCAGGACGATCGAAATATGCTTTCCATCGTTGATCAAATTCTTCATCAGTTTCTTTACTATGTGATGACATATTTCGACGCATTGTTGTCCACATTGGTCGAGTTGTTTTATTTAATGATTGAATAAGAACTGAACGAAATAGATAAGCCATCTAAAATATAATTTATAATTGTTTATACATTTGGACAAAGAAATTTACTACAATATTATGTGATTGATAAAAAAAAACACAATTTAAAAAAAGAAGCACCAAAAACAAACACTTATTCATCAGCATGTATATCAAGTTCTTCTATTTGTTTGTCAATACTTTGAATAGCGTTGAGTAAAACTTGTTTACGTTGATTTAAAAGAGTTCGTTGCATATCGGAATGATTACTTATTTGACTATTATCGTCAGTTATATATTCAGATAAATTCTTATTATTTGTAGAAAATGTAGATTCAGCATTTGAAAGTAAACGATGAAAATTTTGTTGTTGTAATTTTGTAATTGCACTATTTGATTGATAACATTCATTTTGTTGTCTTTGATCATATGGACAATATGATGTAGCAATGGAATCAGTTGTTTCTGTTGAAGAATATTGATTTGGAATCGATTTTTCATTTATATTGACAGGTCTAAAGAAAAAATGAAAAATATACTAATAGGTTCATTTCGTATTCATAATAAAATTACATATATAACTGAAAATTCGCTACGTTTTGGTACATACGACTTCATTTTTACCACTGACCTCCATGAATACATATTGTATAAAAAAAAACTTAGATTCTCTATCCAACAAGATCTGAATCAAAAAATTAAAAATTAGTATCAGATTCTCGCAAAACATAAAATCAAAGTATACCATTCTCTATGGAGTATTTGTTAATTTTGAATTTCTAGAACAGATCTGCTTTTGAACAATTACGTCGTTTATAAAACAGCAATTGAAATAAAATTATTTATTCAAGTTTTTCAAGTAATTGTACGACCTTTAATCATTTTTGAAAGTGTATTAAAAACTTGACCTTCTAATGAAATCTTACAGTCAGTGCATTGATGAACAATTATTACGAACGTGACCGCTTTCTGTAGCGAGAAAGATAGAGAAATATTTCTATAAGAATATTTTTACAATAGATTCATTCGATTCCGGCTGCCTCAGAATGCTAATGCGTTGATCAACATCTTTCTTCGATTTTCGAAAATATCGAGCAAGTTTCCTTTTTTAATTTTTTTTTGAAACGTGTGAAATTCACTCTTAATTCAATCAAGATAAAGCTATTTTTGGAAATTGGGAAATCTAAATCTCTAATCGAATTTTCCAGTCCGAGAAAGTTGATTAGAAATTCAAATTCTTCGACCTCAAAAACTTTTGGTCTCCTTCCTGTAATAAATATTTATCGTACCTAACTGCTACAGATTGTTCCACTCGTTTTGGTATAGTATTCATTGAATCTATCGATGATTGATTTGTTTTGTTTACAAACGAATTTTGAGAATGTCTTCCTGTTGTTGATGTTGGTCTTTCCGGTATATATAATTGATTTAAATAAGCAGAAATAAGTTTTGCTCCGGCATGACATCGTGCTACAGAACAATGGCTTATACCCAATTGATTATGATATGGACAACGTTCTTCAATCATAAATGAATAAGCTGCATTTGCAAATGTTTTTTGTATGTCATCACGTAATACACGATATTTTCTTAATTCAGCTAAAATCATAATTAATGATTCAATACTTGCTAAATTAACCAAACGTGTATCTTTTGTTGGTTTTATTCCTATATAAAAAAAGAGAAAGGTTTTTTTTTTGCGAAATTTTCTTTTCATTAACCTTCAGCTTTTTCTTGTAACCAATCGAGTATTCCACAAGTTTGTTCATACTCTAATGCAGGAAAAAAAACACATGGTTGAATTGATCGAAGATATCGTCGCCGTGCTCGATCATCATTATTCGAAGTATTATTTATTTTATTGATTGCAGTTAATAAAAGAAATGATTTTAATTCATAATAGATTTCTTTATAATTATCTGTTGCTTCTGTAAAATCCTTTAATGGAATTTGATGTGTTTCTTTTAAATGTTCTAAGCATGATGACATATAACCTGATGGAATTTTATCAGGTTTAAAAAAATTTTGTCTATAAATTGTTACACCTTCATTTAATGTATACTATTTAAAAAACAACAATGAAAATCAGTAATTAACAAACAAAAAAAAAAAAAAAATTTTCTGTTTTTTTATCTTACACGTAGAATACACATTTCAGCTGGAATAAATTGTCCTCCATCTTCTTCATCAACTTTACAAAATATTTGAAAATTAATTATATATATTGGCATTGATAACAATTCACTTATATCAAGTGGTAAATATTCACATGTTAAAAAATTTCTTTCGAAACTAAAACGATCATAATGAGTTTTTAATTCTTCACATGGTATATCACGTTCATGAAGAATTTTATCATGTATTATTTGTTTTTTGATTTTTCCTTGTTGATTTGATGTATGCGCTGATTCAGGATCTATTCGATATTGTATACGCCATTCTTCATACTGAATTTTATATGGTTGTTTTTCTTCTTCGGATAATGCTTTCCACTCATCATAACATGCAGCTATGGCTTCATGTATATTCATTCGTTGACCATGACGACGTTGATATTCACGAGCATAAAAGAATAATGGTGATCGATTTGGTCGTGGCATGTATTAATTTCAAATCTAAAAATAGAAATATATCTATGCTATATGTAAGAAAAGAGAAAATCGTTAAATGCATATTACTTGCTAAAAATATCGAGTAAAAAATAAATTCTTGTTATTTATCAATTTTTTTCTTGTTCAAAATCAAAGAAAAAAAAAAACAAAAAAATTTTTCAATCACTTTCGTCCAAGCAAAATTTACACTGGAAAAACAGACTAATAATTACAAAGAAAAAAAACAAATCATAACCAAAACACATACACAAAACAAAAAAAAAATATATATAGATATGATAATACTAAACGAATGAAAAAGAAAGACAAAGTAGGTTAAGGATAATTTCAAAAATAATATTTCATATGAGATTCTTTATACGTTTTAAATGTTTTACTTATCATATAATTGCATTAAATTGGAAAATCCTGGCATCGGAGGTATGAGACTAGTACGATGACCACGACCAATACTATTAACAAAAACATAATTATCTGAATCATTACTATTTATTGTTGATGAATATTTGACTGTTTTTCTTATACCACGACCTCTCATTATATATTGATCCTCATCATCAGTATTATTCTTATATGGTGAAGAGATTTGCCAACGACAATCAATTTCAATTGGAGGTGCTAGTCGTAGTTTTGATAATTTCGATAACTGAAAAAGAAAAAAAAAATGTTATTTTTCAATCAAATTATTATTTCTTTTTTTGAATAAACAAGTTTCAATAATATAAATAGATTGAACATATGCTAATAAAGAATAGGTGATTTTTATACAACACTATTCTCGATTATAGACGTTGGAAAAACACAATTTGCGTAAATTGAAACACTTTTTTTTTCTCCTGCAATCAAATTGATAGATTTGAGCAATGTATCAAAATTCTTGTACTTATAAAAAACAATGTTGAGCCTAAACTGAAATCAAAACTTCCACCGCCGATGATCTCGATCTCATATGTATCATAATATCATCCTCATTCAACCCACATCCACAGTAGGTCGGCCTGTTGAATGCCGCAATTAATGCAAGAAATATGGCTTTTTAATAGGGGTTAGTGAGATCAGTTTCAACCCTGACCAAAAGTTCTTCAGAAATTTTTTAGAGGTAGAAATTTGCATCTTCTTCACATATCATGACAGATGTAAGCGTGGAAGTGTTACAGACTATTATGAACATTGCTAATATACGATCAATAAACTACTTCCTTGTTTCATTTCTGAAGAACTATGTAAAAGGATGACAAAGAGAACATGTTCCAAAATAGAATCAGCCTCACAAGGAGTGTGTTGATAGCTTTAGTATCTTAAGTAAAGAAAAAAATCATTTACTTTATTCTTAGTTGATGAATTGCTTATTTGTTGATCCATTGAAGAAGAAATATTTGTTGATGGTGATTGAATAAAAACATTTGAACCTACTGATGCTAATTTAATTGTATCTGATACCTTTGTCTAAGAGATAGAAATAAAAAAAAACAAAACAAATAAATTTAAATAATTATTTGTTTTTTACTTTTTGTGGTTGTGTTAAAACACGTAAAGTTTTATGTTTTTCAATATATGTTGAACTAATTGAATCGATTATTGATGATGTTGATTCATTACTTATTGATTTAATTTCATGCATAAAACTATTTATTGGTGATAGTTTTTGTAAATTTTTATTAGTTATTTCATTTTGAACTTGTTCAGAAAATGATTGTATAAAACGTTGTCGAATAAAACCATCAAGAAAAAGACTAAAACCATGATTAATAGCACGACAACAATATTGTATAGCTAATGAATCATGATAAATACATCGTTCTTTAACTTGTATTGTATAAACAGGTCGACGTAATTGTTCTCGAACACTTTGATGAGCAAAATCACCAATACCAATACGACGAAGTAATGCAGCAACTAAAGCTTCAAATGAATAAACACGAAAAGAAGGTTTTGATGATTGTTCAATATCATTATTGCCTTTGGATACAAGCCAATTAAGAAGATAAGTTGTTTGATCACGTTCAAATGCATTACAAAATACTATCACTGGTTTATTAGTAGATGAATCAACAATTGAATCTAATCAAGAAAAAAATTCATTAATACTACTTTCAATTAATAAATCATTATAGAGGAAATCTATGAAAATGGTTTGAAAAATTTTTATTTGGTTGAGATTCGGCTAAAGCATCGAATTGTTTTCTAGAGGCTTGCGATTTTTAGAAAACGTGTATTTTCGAATTTTGATCTGTAGCTGTGTGAATATAGGAAATTCAACTAGACTAACTTCCATTAAAATAAGTTTAGAAGTTTTGAACTAAGTCTTTTCAAGATATGACACTTTTATAATACAGATCCTTTTCTATGGATAGTGGATACAGAATGAATGTTGTCAAAGCTTCATATTCGAAAATATGAGTTTTCCGAAAATTGGGACTTCTAGAAAAAAATTCGCTAGTTTAGTCAAAAAATAATTGTTAATTTCAGTTAGTAGACTACTCTTAACCATATTCTAAGCTTTGGATTTGTTAAAAATGCCTTTGATTTAACTATCAGATAACTGTCTATATGAGCTTCTTTATTCATTTTGAAGATCATCAATAATCACGCTACACTATAATTATTGTCAATTATCAATAAGATTTTCCGTTTAATATCCTATAACAGTACATTTTTCTTTTAGAACATGTCGACCCTAATGCAAAAACTTAATATATATTCTACTAACCACCAATGACTCGTTTAACTTCTTGCCATATTCGTTTATAATCTCCATTAGCACCAACAAAATCAAATGGTGGAATTTGATGTGTTTCACGAGATAAATCAATAGCTGTACCAGTATAACCAACAGGAAATTTTTCTGGTTTAATTATTGTAAAATATTCTTGTTTAATACTTTCAAAAAATGAATATTTCATAATAGCTATTTCAGCTGGATAATAATCACCACCATCTTCATCATCAGTTCGACAAAAAATTTGAAATGTAACAAAAAATAAATTTCTTTTAAATATATCAATAAGATCATTTGAAAAATATGTATCTAAATATTTATTTTCATTACTATTTTTTTCAATAAAGGATACTTCTTCACTAGATGGTATAACAGGTGTTATAACATTTTCATTATTTAACATTCGTGTACGTTTATATTGTTTTGCTAAACTATGAAAATAAATAAATAAACAATTATTTAATTTTATTTATTTTTTGTAACCTAATAAAACATACTCTTCATAAGGTTTTCTTTCTACAAGTGTCATTGAACGCCAACGAGGTAATAAAAGTATAATTAAATCATGAATTGACATTCGAGAATAAGCTGGATAAAGTTTTCGATGTTCATCAGCTAAATAATAAACTCCTGTTCGATTTACATGTTGTTTTTTCTTGGGTGACATTCTTCTTTGATAACGAACAAAGTATTAATCAAAATATAAAGATTTGTTAGATGTAAATGTTTTTGTTTTCGAAAAGAACAAGACTAATTTTGCTAACAAATTTATATTTTTGACGTATCCATTGAAAAAAAATATTAATATTCCATCTTTGTTGATCATACGACTATAAACTATGGAAATATGATTGTGGTGTATTATAAACCATTTGAAAATAATTCATACCTTCGTGAATGTTCAGAAACATAAAACTTCAGATACAGTTTAATTTTTGAATAAGAATGACAAAGTCTATTGCAATACTAAAGGAAAAATAGAAGTGGAATAGTTTTCAATATAGATGGCGTTAAATATTAGTTGGTTATAAATAAAAACTAAGACTGCCCATGTGGTCAAAACCGGTAAAAAACCGCCGGTTAACCGGCGGTATACCGATCGTACAACTGTGCGGAATACCGCCGGTTAACCGGCGGTAACCGAAAAAAACCGCCGGTTAACCGCGGTTATCCGGCAGTTTATTCAATTGATCCGGTTTCTAATATTGGCTGCGTGATTCTTTCATAGCACAATTAGTTTTTTTACAATATTTGTTTGTTTTTTTGCACTTTATTTTTAAAAAAATACTAAACAAACAATATTAGCCTACAGACATAACAAAAAGAGCTCATATTTGATCGGAAAATCTAGTAAGTCGTGGTATCTGGTAAAAATACTTGATAGCTAGGAATTCAAAACTATTGAATTCTATTAATAGGAATCAACAAATTATATGGATTTCTGTTGAATATTTCGTGAATGGTTTTTATTGCCCATGTAAAAAAAAAGACTGGAAAAATGAGATTATTAATCGATTATAATGGCACTATTATAACCTGATTTTAATCAGATTTTTCTGTATAACAAAATCAAAATTTTCGTATTTTGATTTTTTCTTAATCTTTTTTAACTGTTTTTTTAAAATTCATTATAATCGATTACGAAAAAATCAAAATCCGAACATTTTAATTATTTTATATAGAAAAATCTGATTAAAATCAGGTTATAATAGTGCCATTATGATTAATTGATAATCTGATTTTCCTAAATATTTTTACATGAGCATTTACATATGCTTTTTATTTTATTTAGTCTTTCTGTTTTTTAAGAGGAAATTGAAATAAATACATTAAGTTGCTATCAGAATTTCTTTGCTTATTCAAAAGTTGGAATAAAATTTGTAAATCGAAACTTTTTCCTAAATTATAAGCAGTCATTGTTAGATAGATCAATATGAATAGCAATATGAACCACTTTGATTTAATATTGGATGCTTTTTCCGGAACCCAACTTTTAATTTTAAAACACAAGAAAAAAATCTAAATACTTAAGTTAAATTATCTCGAGGTTCGAAGATGATATATTTTAAATTATTTGTGCGCGATTCAGAATTATAATACATTCCTGAAGAAACACCAGATATTGAATCAAAATGGTTCATATTACTATTCATATTGATCTTTCTTCCAATGACAACTTATAATTTAGGAAAAAGTTTCGATTTAAAAATTTTATTCTATCTTTTGAATAACTAAAGAAATTCTGATGCTAATTTAATGTACTCATTTC